TCACACGAGATTGCATCAGCAAGCATCCATGCATCATGTTTGTCATCCTCAACATGTAGATAATGACCTTGAGAGGTTTCTCTTGTTTTAGCACTAAGCAATTTTGGTATCTGGCTAAATCCAGAGGTCGTGCCTTTTGTGTGGAAGTAATTCTTTGTATGATTTTTGTGGTCCCCAAACCAGTTGAGTGAGTTGCCGGAGCACTACTGGCATCATTCAGTTTGTCTGGTTTTGGAACTGTCTTTGTAGCTGGCTTAGAAATGACTTTTGGATCTGAGGACTTTGCTCGGACATCCTTTCAAGGCTTGTTTTAGTCTTCTCAGCTTTGGAGCTTGTAGTTGTCTCCACTTCAGAGCTTGATCAGAGCACAAGATTTCTTGGCAGTTGCTGTGTTGTGTCCGAAGACAGATTTGTCCCATCCAACCGTTTTGGCATGCTGCAACTCGCGAAGGTAATTTCACTATTTAGAAAGGTACAAACAACTATAGGACTGAGCCTAAAGTATTCTTGTCATGACTCCATGGATCGGTAAGTCTCGTTTAATTTGAAATTGAACATTCCTCGCTGTCAATTACGAGTAAGGCAATAAAACTATCAACCTGCATTTTACAGTGTGTGGTGAGTGTTGTATTTTCCCCCTTCAGTAATCATTCCAACTATTTACACAGAAAATGTTTCAGATTCCACTACAGGTGGACTTACGGTAACAAAGTAACAGTTAAGTATTTTATGTTGACATTTGAAACTAGCTTGTCAGTCTAAGGTAAAGCGTATACTTCACATGCCAGTCTGTGAACTCGGTGCCTAATCCATCAATTCTTTCAACAAGATCCAGACCATCCCTGAATGTTCACTTGATATTTAATGTGCTCGCTCCTCAAAGATCTGGACCCCATACAATGGGATGCAGGCTAGTACTTTGGAGGTTAAATCTCGTTCATTAACCATGACTGATACATACCTTTCCTGGTTATGTGGCAAAAGCTGCCATGTCACCTGCAACATTTGGGTTTAAAAGTAAAAATTCCTCCACTAAAAACACTATACTTTACACTGTAGTTTATGGGCCATCATCAAGCAGAGAAAGAACTTAAAATGTAAAGAAAAAAATGCCTACTCTGCAACCACAATCTTAACTAACACAGTTGCACGTTCAATGGCATGAATATGACCATTTTATGAAACACACACAATGAACTTAGCTAGGAACCAAGAAATGCTGAAGGTCTCCACGGCCTTGAAAAAGATTGGCCCCTTACAGTATGCAAGAACGAAAGTATGGCGAAATTGTTGTGTCACCCATGTTACACACTGGAAGAGTTAACTCCCTTCCACATGCTGCAACACGTGCAAAACAGATAGTGTGCTTTGGGTTACGATCTAAACAATCGTGGTCAAAGTTAACAATAATTGTGACGGGATCCCCATCAATGGGTCGGTGTCTTTGGCCAGTATGTCAACCTAAGACACCGGCCACATAAACATCTGCTGTTTGAAATTCTTCCGCCGGCTGTTTGTCACTTTTCTGCCTTTCACTTCCCTTGTCTTCATTGTCATCATAATTCCAAGTTAGAGCCTCAGTATATCCACTGATTTTTTGCTCATCTTCCAAAGATATCAAAACGTCTTGAAAGCTGTCCATCACAGACTCCTCAACTTCCTTTCTAGTTGACCCCTCCACAGAATAACATGGTTTCATAAGGGGAAACACATAATTTACATCAACATCCTTTTCATGCCCCATCACAAGTAGTGCCTTGCATATTTCTGGCTTTTGCCTTATGATATCAGTAAGTCCATAAAGCTCCAGTCCTTTCATGAATTTGAATAAATATAGTTGTCATGTTCGTGACAAGACTAATCAGAAGGGATCCCGTGATATCATTGATGTGCTCTTTGTCGATAAAGGACTGTTCATTTTTTACGAGTTTTTCTCATGCCCCCCCCCCCCCCAGACGGTCATTTTTTGGGGGTGACCCCCCTCCTTTCAAAAGAGACATTATCATAATTAAACCTGACATGCATATATTTTGCAGTGTACAATATTTGTATTATCTGTTCAATGTAAAGCTGTTGACAACTCATTCTACAGATGTAGCAGCCAGTTCTGTTAATTCAAAAAATAAATTCTGTCCATTTGCTAAGGCACTTCTTCACTATTTTTCAAATATAAAAAAATGTAGAGAATCGAAAGAAAGAAAAGTCAATTTCCGATCTTCAGTTTATGGATCTTCCAGAGCGTGTCGTTGCTTGCCTCTCAACTTCTTCCTCGTCATTGATAAAGGCAAGGATGACATCTTCACGCCCAGAGTTGATGGAATCATTGTCGTTCTTATCATTATCATCGCTTTCACTTCTGCTGTACTCATTAGCTCCATCTCTTTCTCTCAGTCGTGTTTGCAGCATTAATGGTTCAGGGCCTTCAGGATTCATTTGGAGAAGCCAATGCCTTGCGATTACCTTCACCTTGTCGTTCTTAGGGCTTTTGATGTGTTGGTGTATTCCATGGTGCTTGAGGTACTTGTTAAGCTCTGGCACTCGAAGCTGTTTCAGTTTGGTCGAATCTCCATCACCTCAAGGTGCTTAAGGTAATCCTTAAGAGAAAACCTTGAAGGAACATGATTGTACGCTTTTCCAGTCTAATGGGCTTATCTTGAAGCAAGGAGAAGAATTTGCTCACGACTTCAATGTAAAGGAGATCAAGTGCGTCAAGGCTAAGGTGCAAAACGTAACGTGGGATACAGAGACACTAGAAGAAAGTAAAGACAGTTTTTGTAGCATTTTCAAGGGCCTACATACAGACCGCATCAGCAAGGGAAGAAGAAAAAAAAGAAAACTGTCGAAAATCGAATGCAAGAAAAAAGAAATGGTTTGGAAACAACGTCCAACGAGTGCATAGTATTTGTGTCGGAAACCCGCTAGGTAATGATCTTCCAAAATGTCTTCGGTATCCTCCTTGCCTTGCCGTCCCTGAAGGGTGCATAGACGTTGAGAAAGTTTCCGAATTGCTTTTTGATCGAGATGCGGCATACATTGCACAGCTCTTGCAAGGAAACCATTTCAGCAACGCCGCAGGAAGCAGAATTATCACAAACCTCAAGCCGGAGGTTAGAGATAACGTGTACTGCTTCATGTAGCCTGAAGAGTATGCTATGACTGAAAACGATGAAAGCGACTCTAGCAGCAGCACGAGCGATGAGGAAGAGCTTGGCGATGATGACGAAGAGGAACATGAGCAGAGAGACGTTGCACAGCAGTAACATGATAGAGAATCTTTTAATGATAGTTTCCTAGCATTGAAAATTGTTGTCGTGGAACTGAACGCTGTCATGTAAACGCAGAACGAAAGTGTTTGATACATTTATATACCTTTTGCTTGCTTCATCATCATCATCATCATCATCATCATTTATGAGCCACCAGGCTTATAAAGAGAGGTCACGTCGACATTACAATATTATAAGAAATAAGGGCTGCGAAGAAGTGCGGCTAAACTAACTTAGTAACTATTTTAATAAAAACTCTAGCACTTTGTTCTTAAAGACAGAAAAGCTTGACAAGGAAGGGATACAGGAAGACGGTTCCAGATTCTAGGTCCTTGGTAAAGAATTGTGAATTTCTTGATGTTCGTCAACAGGAATGCGCTCGATAATTACTAGCTGTTCTTGTGTCATATCTATGGACTTGACTGTTTGTCATAAACAGATTGCGGAAGAGTGGAGGCAGCAGATTATTGTGGTAGCAAAACATAAATTAAGCAGTATCGAGCGTATTAATTTGGAAAATATCTAGAATTTCCAATTTGGAGAATAGAGGAGCAGTATGTGCTCGATATTCTGAATTTGTAACAGCTCGCACAGCCCGCTTTTGTAGATAGTAAATCCTGTTTAAATTAGATACGTAAGTAGAAGACCACGTGGAGTTACAATAAGTAATATAAGGATAAATTAATGTGTAGTACAGCGTGAGTTTGGTCTTACAAGATAAGTAGAAACGCGTCCTGGATAAAACACCGATTCATTTAGCGATTTGTTTACAGACAAAGTTTATGTGATACTTTCAAGTAAGATGTTCGTCTAGGTACACCCCAAGAAATTTAGTTACATTGCTTTGAATTAGAGGTTGACCTCCAAAAGAGAGAGAAAAACTGTGGTTGAGTTTCCTCTGACTCGGACTAAAGGTAACATAATTTGTCTTTTTGATAATAACTGAGAGCTTATTGCACCTGAACCAAACATCAATATTTAGTAACTCATTATTAAGCACATTCTCTAAGTAGTTTGGATTAGAGTGTGAAAAAAAGATACTTGTGTCGTCAGCAAAAAGTAGAAGCTCAGTTAACTTAGAGGCTTTAGGAAGATCATTTCTGTAAAGTATGAAGAATAAGGGGCCTAAGATGGATCCTTGAGGAACTCCACACTTACTGGTCTGCGTTGAGGAACAAGTTTGATTAATTTGGACGAATTGCTGACGGCAAGAAAAGTAGCTTTTTATCCACTGGAGAGCCACATCACGGATACCATAGTCCTCCAGCTTGATGAATAAGATTTGATGATCAAGAGTGTCAAAAGCTTTGGAGAGATCTAGGAAAACCCCTACAGTAGTTTCACGCTGGTCAATTGCCGAAGAGATTCTATTTCTTAGAAGGATTAGAGCATGGGACGTTGAATAGTTTTTACGAAATCCAAACTGGCAGCGGTATAGTATATTATTCTGCTCGGCGAATTTAATCATACGATTATACAGTACGTTTTCAAAAAAATTGGCAAAATTGGACAACAAAGAAATTGGTCTGTAGTTTGTAAAATGACTAGGATCATCTGCTTTGTAAATAGCAATCACTTTAGCAATTTTTAGTTTATCAGGGAAGATGCCTTTTTGTAAAGACAGGTTTATGATGTTGGCAAGAGGAGCAGAAATCAGGTGAAATGAGTGTTTAATTACACCATTGAAATATTGTCATAGCCATATTGGGATCTTCATCAAGAAATGAGGCCCAGTTTGTGTTTGAATCGTTTTCGTTGAATTTACGCATATTTTCGTTAGTAATCTTGCGTATGAATACTTTATTTTCTCCATCGCGCGTCAGAGTTTTGCCAGAAAAATAAGCAAACACCGGTAAGTGATCGGATAAATCATTTACAACAACACCATTTAAAACATTTTGAGAAAGATTATTTGTGAATATATTATCGATTAGGGTTGCAGAATAAGAGGTGAGGCGCGTTGGATTGGAGATGAGAGGAATAAATACGTGCGAAAGTAGGGTGTCGATAAATTCTTGAGTTGGTGTATGATGGTTGTACTGGAGAAGGTCGAGGTTAAAGTTTCCCATAACATAACATTGTTTTCCTTAGAAATACGAGAAAGAATGTCGTTAAATTTGTCTAGAAACAAGGCCGTGTTTTGATTTGGCGGTCTATACACAAATCCAACAATGATGTTTTACCCATTGGGAACTGTAGTCTCCACGAATAAAGACTCAATTGTCTCTGGATCTGACAATTTGCTTTCATTAAGAAGTTTTGTATTGAAGGTCGTTTTGTAAATAAATGCCTACTCCGCCACCTGTTTTGGATTTACGATGGTTTGAGATAAAATTGTATCCAGTGATATTAACCAGCTCTGCAGTGCAATCAGTCAGCCACGTTTCTGAAATACCGATCACAGAGAATGGTTTTTTGAGACTTCCAAGCATTAAATTCAATTGGTCAAGATTTTTTAGCAAGCTACGAGCATTTAGGTGTATAATGGAAAAATTTATTTTGTCGCTAAGGGGAGCTACTCCACTATTTATGTCATCCTCGGCCAAGTAACTACTTGAGGGCAGACCAGCAATAAAATTACAATCAGGGTTCAGATGACAGGAAAGTGAGTTGGATAACTCAGGTTTCTCTATAGGATTAAATGAGAGTGTTTCAAGATGGTTACTATTGAAATTTAAAGGGCCATGGGAGAACTCATAGAGTGCTAGGTTAAAGGAACTATTATCTAAATGATTAAATGGAAAGAGAAATTCCACATGCGACTGGTCAGCCATCATAGTGACGGCTAGGTTCAGCTAAAAATAAAGTGTCAGTTGCACAGGAATTTGTGAAAGGTACTTAACTCATGGGTAAACCCTCCTGATTTGCAAAGGTCACAAGGTCGTTGTGGCACTTGATTTGGATCGGGCGAGAATCTTCGGTTCGTCAAAGATAAATAATAAAGTTCTTGGCCCAGCAGAACTTGAAGCCATTTCTCTTTTGAAATTTCTTTGAATCCGCCAACAGTAGCCTGACGTTTTCCAAGGAACAGCTGGACGGTAGTCCGATCGAATTGGCCGACACTTTACAAGCTTCATTTCGTGCATTCATTACTTGCTGTTTCATAATTCTTCTTGTTCGCCTGAAATTCATCCGATTGCTTCGAGTCGTTTTCTCCTCTAAACAACGTCTGAATCGACCGGCCGTTAATGCCGTCCAGTGACGTCACTCACTACCCGAAAACCGGGTAGTGATTTTGATTGGGTGATTGTCTAAACATTCGCATAATTATGTATAATTATGAAAAATTTTAGCGGGATTGTCGCTTGATATTCAGCGGATCGCATCCCTGGCATTCTTTCGTTTAGTTCAAACATTTCGGTAAGCTTAATCTTTATCTTAAACAGCAAAATTTCCCTTGTCTTCGAAACTGAAATGCTAAATTGAACTGCGAATGTCGAATCCTTGCGGAGAGTCGGTAAGTTTTTCATTTAATTTAGAGCCGCTTTGTGGTTTCGGCGGCCGGTGATTTTGTTTACGCGAAGTTTTCCGAGATCAATGTTATAATTCGACC